AAAATGTGAACAAAGCATGTCCCTGCTCTTCCCCCATCTCCCACTAGTTTTATATTTATGAAAGCTGATTACAAAACATAAATTTATCACTTAAGCCTTCAGCCAAGTTTTAAATGACTCAAATGCGTACGTACGCTAAGTAGACAGGCGGCCTCTGTGGTTTCCCTTTCACCAACTCCGAGCCCACTGAAAGGCAGGAGTGTGAGAGCCCTGGCTGACCCCCTGGACTTCGTACTTTCAAGCCACAGCCTGAGCAGAGTAATTTTTGTTCTTCTTACAGTCAGCCCTCCATATCTGAGCATTCTGCACCTGTAGGTTCAACCAACTGCCAACTGAAGAATTTTGGAAAAAAAGTCATGCCTTTAGATTTGTATGTATTTGTTGTAACTGACTTTTGGTCATTATTAGCTAAACTATACATGAAGACAACAACACCTGTAACACTCCTGTTGTATTAGGCAGCAGAGGGCATCTAGAGATGGTCTAAGGTGCACAGAGGGCACGTGGGTCATGACAAATGCTGGGGGGACTCAGGTATCTGCAGTGTGGGTACGCAGTGCTTCCTGGGCCAGTCCTGCACTTACGGGGGGAGGGGACACTGGGGCACCAGAGTCTTCCATTTTGATGTTCATTGCTGGTGCCCTGTGTGTGTGTGTGTGTGTGTGTGTGTGTGTGTAACTGTGGGTGCATCTAGGTGTACAGCAGATGAGAGGAAAATATGTTGTCTCAGTTACTTTCCTCTCCTTGCTGGGACAAAGTACCTGACACCCAAAATAAAACAGGAAAAGTCTACTTAGCTGACAGTTTGTGGAGGTTTCTGTCCCTACTTGGCTAGCTCCAAGGCACAGTGGCACATGGCAGAGGGCAGCCATTCATAGTGGCGAAAACAGAAAAACAGCAAGAGCAAAAAGGCAGGAGGAGCTGCGGATAGCAAGCCTCTCTCCTTCCCTTATACTGCATTCAGGCTGTCCACCACAGGGCAGGTGTAGCGCTCACACCCATAATGCCAAAGCACTCATGCACAATCCCAGCCTCCAACCATCATTAATCACCAACTCCAGAAGCCGCCCCACAACTGCATGAGGCTCTGGGGGACAGTGAGACACAAACTGTAACAGATATCTAAGGAGACTCTGATGACAGCACGCAGCTGAAATGCTGACTGTACTGCCAGTTTGGGGGCAGGGGAGCAGGTCCTTCTTTCCCAAAGCTGAAGGAGAAGTTCCTGGACGGGATGCATGTCTCCTACTGTCTGGTGGAATCGGAGGGGGAGGGGGTACAGCTGTGGGGAGACCCTCCCAGGAGAGGCAGCTTGCAGCGGACAGACATGAGGCTCCAGCACTCGCGCCATGCAGGCTGCAGGCAGGCAGAGCAGGGCCGGAGCAGGCCTGGAGGCAGGGGGAGGAGCCAGGCCAGCACCTGTGGCCAGAGACAGGTAAGCCACAGCGGGAGCGAAGGAGTCCTGAACCCAGGTCTTACCGGTGCTCCCAAGGTTAAGATAGCCACAGGATGCACTGGTTAGCTCAGCAAAGCAAATACACATTAGTAAACACGGAGAAGACGTCAAACTTGGGTATGTGTCAGATACAAGTTCAAAGTGTGATGCACAGGGGTGCAGGTGACTTCTCCACCCCCATCTATGTGCAAAGGGTCACTTATGAGCTTCTCAGTGTAACTTCGGTGCACCAGGGATCAAGAGAACACAAACTGCCCCAAGCCAGCCGGAGGAGAACCAGGAAACCCCACTAGAACTTATAGGCAGGCTCCTGGGCTGAGCGCTTTTAAGGCAAACTCTATTGCTTCTTTGTTACCAAAGCAATAGAAAACATGAATCTGCTGAGGTCTACTTTACTACTCAGAGCAGATTTCTGAGGTCACCGGGCCCAGGGCATTCACGGAGGACTCCCTTAACCATCAGAGCAGGGCCTCTCAAAGTCGGGCGCTAGGCACTCAACCAGCGACCACTGCCCCAACCAACCAACCAGCTTCCCGTTGTGCAGAAGCGGGCGCTTGGAAAATAAACCAATAAACCAGTAGAGAGGGCTGCGGATTTCTCTCCACCCTCAGGCTCATTAATTTCTGAGACCGACTGGGGTGGCCTGCCTGACTTTCCCGGCTGGGCAGGCTCTTCCATTTTGGGTAGGGCAGAGCCATGCAGGAAAACCGGACAGGCATTCCCAGATACTCAGCCACCTGCAAAACCCAGGCCACTACAAAGAGCTCTCGTTCTCTAAGCTGGGTGTGGTGGTGCACCCCTGTGATCCCAGCACTTGGGAGGTGGAGGCAAGAGGATCAGAGCAAGTACACGGCCAGCCTATGCTACGTAGTGGGACTCCTTCTCAAAACAAAAACAAAAACCAAGTTCTCCTCTCCTTAGGTCAGAAGCCCCTGTGTGCCTTGGTCCCAGCCCTACAGCTCCAAGCACAGGGAGAGCAGCATCCCTGCCATTTAGCACACACCTTATGTATCCCAGTGACTGTGCTAGGTCCTTATGCTTCTCTTGTAAACACTCCTAGACAGACCTGACTGCCTGCCTCACAAATAAGGAGCCTGTCTGAATGTGGGATCCGGCCCTGCCTGCTCCAAGCACCTGCCACACTCACCGTGACTGCACTGGCTACCACCACGGCCACCACAGCAGCCTTCCTCTCCCTCTCCAGGCCTTGCAGTGAGGAGCTGAGCTGGCTCCTTGGGCACAGCTTTCCCCACCTCCTGGGAACTGAAGGTTAGAGAGGAAAAATCAGCAAGCACAGGATATAGCAAGGTAGCCTTCAGGCACCAGTCAGGGCCAGGCTGGGGTGTGGCCATTATCCAAGGTCTGTTCTAGGAAAGGCTGCCAAAACTGAACTGAGGGATAGTCCCTGGAGGAGACACGAGTGAAGTTCCTCTTTAGAGAGAAAGTCTCACAAAAGCTGTGTCTCACACGTGCCCAGCACTCTCCAGACCCCAGGTTCAATCACCAGTACTGTAAAAAAAGCTGAAGGTTACACAAAGGTCCTGCTGATGTTTCTGACGCCAGATGGAGATAGGGATGTACTGGTAGAGCAGCTTTGTGTTCAATACCAGTACTGGGGAAAAAAAAAAAAAAAAAAAAAAACCCAAAACAAAAAACACCACAAAAAGAAAGCTGGCTTATGAGGCCACAAGGCCCACCGTGGTTAGGTGGGCTTTGCCTCAGTGCCTCCATCTCTTCTCCAGGAAGAAACAGGAACCCAACCAGTCAGACTGCTGGCCCGCAGCAGGACCTCTTGTGAAGGCTCACTCAGCACAGCCGGCCCTCAGCACGACACACTCAGGGAAGGCACCGCACCAGGATGGGAAGCTGCCTTCCCACACCAAGGACTGAGACGCTTCTGGGACGGCAGATCAGAGTGACTGGCCCATCTGTTTGAGGCCCCCTCTCTGGCTGCCCCATACCCAGCCCTCCACAGGAGCCATGGGCACCATGCCTGCCCAGCCCTCACCATACCATGTTTGTGTCACTGCACCATGCTCTCCTTGTTCTAGGAGTTTCCATCTGGTTTAAACCACAAGAGCAATCCCGTTTCCAGCCCTGTGTCCAGCTCTGCTGCCTCCTCAAGGCCCCTTTGCACTCCTTCTCCACTCCCACCTTCCACTCCCCCTCTTCCCCCTCAGAGCGTGAGGTGCTCATCTCCATCCTGCACCTTGCTGGGGTGCTGGACTGAATCCAGGGCATGCCAGGAGGCTCTCTACCACTGAGCTACACCCCAGACCCCTTTTATTTGAGATAGGATCTCACTACATGGCCTAGGCTGGTCTTGAACTTGAGACCCTGCTGCCTCTGCATCCCTCCTAGTTGGGATCACAGGCATGCACCACCATACCAGCTTCTATTCTCCTCTTAAACTGCTTAAACTGCTTTATTCTGCATTTAACTGTAAATCAGTAAAACTGTTTTGAAAAATGCATTCCAACAAACACATACTCATGTGTAGTCTCCCTAGGAGGCCCCAACAGCCCCCTCACTCTGAGATTCTTCATTAGCAGCCAGGGGTCTAGCATGGATTTGCTGAGACTTGGTTTTCCCATCTCTGGCTAAGCAGGGTCTCAGGCCTCACCCTATCCAGAGACAGCAGCCTGAGGCGCTGTCCCCGCCTGCCCTGTTCCCCTTGGGAACACGGAGCCTCACAGCTGCAGCCCATGTAGGGCTGGGTAGGGCTGTGGGCTACAGAATGCTCAAGTGGACGCAGCAGCTGTACGTGCCCCTCCTTGCGGAAAGCTAAATCCATCTCTGAGACTGCTCCTGGGAGACAGACTGCGTGCCTGGCCAGGAGCAGGCAGGGGTGGCAGGTTAACACTCCAGGTGTTTGTCCCTCTCCGAAGTGTACTCTTCTGCACAGTCAGAATGCCACAGGCTGCTGGGAAGTAGGCTGCCATGCATTTCCAGCTACTCTATCAACAGGGAGGCTGCCAATCCTTCTCAAGGGCCCCAGCCCCCTGCCGCAGCAGCCTGGGAATGTGGGATAGGCAGGCGCGACTGTGGGGAGGCATTTGGTCTTCTAAGGGACACAGCAAGGATAATCACAGAGGTGCTGGAATAGAAAAGCCCCCTTGGGCCCCTTCCAGCAGCGTCTCCCCAAGCCGTCCTCTGTGTCCCTACCCTCAGCTCCTGGCTACTCCTGGGCCTTCCTTCTTCCTCCCGAAGGACACACAGGGAATATGCCCGGCCTTCCCCACATCTCCGGGCTGTGCATGTCCCCCTGCTCCGGGAGCAGACAGGCTCCTAACAGCTTCAAGCAGCTTGTAATTTCTAGGAACTGGCCCTCCTTAGCCCTGCTCAGCTGGGCCTCCCCATCTGCTTAATCAGCTGTAGATCTGCCCTCAGCTACCTGGGGGTTCCCTCCCTCCCCAATGGCTCAAATATGCGGTCCTACTGAGAGGAACCAACACAACCCCCAGATCCTGTTGCAGGAATGGGGTGCCCTGGGGGGCTGTGGCCAGCCTCGCCAGTCCCTGTCAGTGACGTCACACAGTCTTACCTCATCCCACTCTGAGGCAAAGGACGGCGACTTCTCCAGCCTCTTCTTCCCGAGACTACAGTTGGACAGAGACTCACTCCGGCTCCCCATCGTGGTGTCCTCCGTGGGTGAGCAGGTCAGAAGATCAGAGTCAGACTTGGACAAACTGCGGCTAAGTTTGAGCTCCGCTTTGGGTCTGCTGGTGGGAGGGGCTCGGCTTCTGGCCCCGCTCCGCTCTCCTTCTTCCTCAGCACCAGCAGGGTGCGGGGGCGCAGTGTGAGTCAAAGTTTCGGGGTACGCTCGGCTGCTGGCAGAGGGCAAGCCTGCTGGGTAGCCTGTTCTCTTGCTCTGGTCCAGGCTGCCGGGCTGGGAGCCTCCGGGGGTGTGCACACCCGCCTCCTCCAGCTGCATGCTGGCTTCGTGGCAGGCGTCCTGCTGCGGGGACCCGTCGGGATGGTTCTGGCCCGAAGCAGGCAGCAGCTGGAAAGGGTCCTGCCCCACCTCGCACACCGGGGAGGAGCCGTGGAGGAGCCCCGAGAACTGCTCCGGGACCTGCCCGTCCTGCCCCTCTGTGGAGTCCTGGCTCCGGCTGCCGCTGCTTTGCCTGTGGTCTTGGAGTGGACAGAGAGAAATAAAAAATTAAACGTGGAAAAAATCAACAAAGTTCCACTGCAGTGAGCATACGACAGAGCAGAAGAATTCAAAGACAGGAAGAGAAAGAAGCTGGCTAGGCTGGGGAAGGGACAGGGAGAGGGAAGGGGAGGAAGAAAACAGTTTCACACTGTTCTGAGTGCTGTTTGTACCCAAGTCAGAGCATTTATGAAATTCCAAGCACTGGTCTGATTAACACTGTCTGGCAGTCCTCCTTGCCATGAAGGGCTCGGCTAACACTGAAGAGCAGCCCTTGCTATCTAAGGCCAGAGCAGGGCTAACTATGTCCTGCAGGAAGGACCCGAGGAGGACAGGGTGCGGGAACCTGGAGTAAGACAGAGGGACAGAGCGCTGGCCAGGAGCCGGCACGGGTCCCCCGAGCAAGCAAGGGCAGGCGTGCCTGGCTGCTGGAACATCTGATGCATTTCCATAAAGGCCAAAGTGTTATTTAGAGCACTGCCCGCCCTTCCTCTGGCAAGCAGGCGACAGAGAAAAAAATGGAGGCCACAATCCCCAACCTCAACTTCTGGAATTCCTGAACTCTAAGTGCCAAGTACAAGCACAGGGAACTAACTGCTTCCTTCCTTCCTTCCTTCCTTCCGAGGGGCCGCTCGGAGCTCCACGCCTCATCCTTCCTGCCTCGGGAACACAGACTTTTCTTTTTCTTCTCCCTCCCTTTTTTTTTTTAAAGACTGCACATTTCACTCCTGCCAAAGCCTCCCAGCTGCTCATATTTGTTTAAGTTTAACCTTAGCTGATCTGCTGAAAAAGAAATGGTCTAGTTTGTCACTGCCAGGAGACACGTGCAGTCCCTGGAGACTTCACTAACATCCTAGAAATCTGGCGTGGCCAGCTACTACTGTACAACCAAAACCTCTGCCCCAAAGCAGCACAAATAACTGAAGGAACCAGGGTCTGGCATCAGCACAGCATGGGACACCCTGGAGCTTCCCCCACACCACCCGGACAGGCACCACTCTGGCCTGCACTAGGTCCGTTCCAAAGCTACCACCCGGCCTCCTTCCTCCACCACTTGTGTCTGCACACCCACCACCCTGGGCCCTACCTGCTTGCAGTGCCCAAGCCACTCGTGAGATCAGAGGAAAATCTTCAAGTACGAGCATGTATATATTTTTAATTTTTCTTGTTTTTGTTTTTTTACTTTTTAGACAGGGTCTTGCTTTGTAGTGCAAGCTGGCCTGTAACCCCTTGTATAGCCCAGGCTGGCCTTGAACTCCCAGGACACTCTTGCTTCAGCTTCTCTAGTGCTAGGATTAGAAGTGTGCGCCACTATGTCTGGCTGAGCTCAAATATTTTTACAGATAAAGAATCTAAGGCCCCCCAAACCTAGAGGTTTGTCCAAGGCAGTGGGGAAGAAGAGTCTGAGCCAGGAGTCTGAGCCAGAGGCTTGGCTCTGGTCCCAGCTGTACTGCACTGATGCCAGGGGCGGGGGGGGGGGGTGCACCAGGACTCGAACTCAGGACTTCAAGCTCCCCTGGCAGGCACTGCACCACTGAGCTATCTCCTTGGCTTGTGCCTGTACCCTTTTGGGCTTACATACCTAAAACAGTGGGTTGGACTGTGCATGCCTTCAACTCTGCTCAATGCTATGACAGTGCTAAAACTCCCAGTCACTGCCATATGGCAGTGGCAAACTTGTCCCTGTCGTGGTGCAGGGCCCTGCCTGGTGCCTCTCCTGCTGCTGCCTGCACGGCCCAGTCTCCATTCTCACCCCACAGCCTGGGCCCTTTCCAGCAGCTCCCTCAGGCACAAGGGCACAGGATGAGTGGCAGGGGCCACCTGGTCACCAGGTCCTCTAGAGCTGGGCTCCTCCCATGTGCCACCCACCCTGCTCTGCAGTGATCAGGGTCCCTGCTGCTCACCCCCCACCCCGTTCTGCAGAGGGTGGGGCTGGGAGCTCCAGTCTGATTTTGATTGCTAAGCCACAGGAGCCAAGCATGTGAACTCTGCCGCCGCCTCCTCCTCCACCTCTGACCGTTCTGGAACTCTCACATCCCCAACCCATAAATCGCACATCCCAAGGTCAGGCTGTGAGCAGGTACAGCAGCGAGCACCACGGATCCTCTCCAGGAGGGAGACGCCAAGCGCCTGTTCCTGGCAGCTGATGCCCACAAGCCAGGGCTCTGCAGCTACATACACCCCATCTAACAAATGGCAGGGTGGGCACAGCGCCCCACAGCTTACAGATGTGCTATCCCAGCAGGGGGAAGAGGAGGAGGAGGAGGAGGAGGAGGAGGAGGAGGAGGAGGAGGAGGAGGAAGAGGAGGAGGAGGAGGAGGAAGAGGAGGAGGAGGAGGAGGAGGAAGTGGAGGCGGATGAGGAGGAAGATGGTAATGCTGCAAGGGATGCCGTTTAGCCCAAGACCCCTGGTTTAGTCCCCACTACCACAAACAAACACGCAGCAGCTGGTAGCCAGAATAAAGCTGCCCACTCACACTGCATACGGGGACCACAGAGCAGGTCACGTGACTGACGGACCACCTGGCAGGCAGTAGCTCTTCCATGGACTAGTCAAGGGCAGAGTCCACCAGGCTGTAAACTGCCACCATTGCAAAAAATATGGTGTCTTTTTGTTTTGTTTCCTGGTTTTGGTACTAGGGATTGAACTCAGGGCCTTTGCACTGAACTACATCCCCAGCCTTTTTTATTTTTTAATACTGAGTAAGGGTATTGCTGGCCTTGAACTTGTGATCTTCCTGCCTCAGCCTCCTAGCATGCTGGGATCACAGGCATCTGGCTTCACCTCTGGGACTATACTCCAGGGCCCAAGTGTCTACAGACCCTGACCCTGGGGGTTCCTTGTCCCTCTGACATGCATGTGCATAAGGAGAGGACACTGGTAACAGGACCAAGTGTTTCCCCTTTCCATCAGCTTCCAGCTTCTTATTCAATAACGTGGAGCTGGAGTCAGGGCGGGGAAGGCCCAACAACAGAAGGAAAACACCAGAGCCGAGTGGGAGCCTGCCTGGTGGCCCTGCAGCCCAGGCCACAGAGAATGTTCCGCCTGCTGCTGTGGGCGCCAACAATGAGGTCTTGTCACACAGCCACCATTCCTGCCAGTCATCAATGAAAGGGGGCAGATGCCAGGGCTAACAGCCTATGGCAGGAAGGACGTAGGCAGAGAAGAAATGGAAACTGAAAAAGCATGAGCCCCACATGTTGCAGGTTGCAAGCAGTCCTGAACGGGCTCCTAACACGACTGTCCCGGGGGCTCCCGAGCAGGGAGACCTTAGCATCTGAGAGGCTCACGGAGGCCTGAGAACCTCAGGACCTCAACAGACTGGTGCTCATTCCCTACGAAACTGTATTAAAGGTTAAGCTAGGTTTCTCAGCGCACCGCAGGGTGGGGGCAGAACTGCTTGCTAGTTGGTTTCTTCTGCGAAGCTGGGATGACACAAGGTGTCTGGGGAAGGGCACAAACAATTGAATGCAGGACGGAGAGACATCTTAAGCAAATTACTCTCCACACCTGTGCTTTGTTCTTCTCACCTGTCATGTTAGAATCTTAATAGCACTTATTTCATAGAATAATTGTGAGAATTAAATTATACTTGCAAAGCATTCAGAACCATGCTGGGTAAGGCCAGCTCTCAGTGGATGTTAACAACTGCTGCTAGCTGCCTGCAGGACCCGTCATGACTCTCTGTGTTCACAGATGGGACCAACGACTTCTCCAGTCACACAGGTCTGTTGCGTGGGTCAGCAAAGGCAAGGGGCATCAAGTGGCCTGGAGGCACAAGGCTGTTTACAAGATCCACTGCCTTTATCATCCTTACAACTCCTGACTGCAGAAGGAAGGGCCAGAAGATAATATGAAAGAGGCCTGGAGAGCAGCTCTGACACAGGTCCTCCGAAGCCCATCGGGGAGCACGTACCGGCTGTCTGCCTTGGGGACACCAAGCCTTCCTCAGTGGGCCACCAGCTGTTGGGAGAGGTTGGCACATTCAGAAATAATTAGAAGCCAAAAAGCAACGGATGCTTCAAGAAAAGTATCCATCAAGCTGGGCATGGTGGTGTATGGCTGTAACTCCAGCACTCTGGGAGGCTGATGCAGGAATACTGCAAATCTGAACACAGCCTCGGTAGGTTAGACTTAGTAAGACCCTGTCTCAGAAGGGCTGGAGATGTGGCTCAGTATGAAAGCCCTGGGCTCAAATCCCAGTATAGGAAGACAGACAGACAGACAGACAGACAGACAGACAGACACACACACACACACACACACACACACACACACACACAGACAAACACAGAGACAGAGAGATAGAGAACCCAAAGGCAAGGCGAACAGAAAGGCCAAGTGTCAGAGTGTACAAGGAGGCTGCCCAAGAAATGTAGGCCCTGAGATTGGCAATAGAGGAGATGCGGCTTTTGCTAGCTTAGAGAAAAGCAGACAGAATAGGGAGAGACACAGATGAGCTGGTGGTGCATGCTTGTAATCTGAGCACTTGGGAGGCTGATGGAGGAGGATGGCAGGTTTTCAGCCTGGCCTGGGCTACGTGCTGAGTTCAAGGTCAACCTGGACTGCAGCCATCTCAAAAACAAAAAACAAAAACTGTTAACAACAAAGGCAAAGAACACAGGTCACAGCTGTGACGGGGCCACCCTCAGTCCTCCCAGGGGTCTGCCCTCTGGGAGAAGCTGGCCAAAGCCACCAGGCCACTCTTTCCACACTGCTCTCCTGCACAGGGCCAGCAAGGCTCTTTTTTAGTGCCATCAGCCACACCTTTATTCTTCTGGGTGCTCCCTTTCCTTCCACGCTGGGAGCCATGAAGCAAGGGCTCCGCTGCGCCACACGTTAATTACGGCACAGTCACAGGGCTCTCAGGTCCAAAGGACTCTCACGAGCTTTTGAACAACAATATAACATCTGCACGTTGCAGTCACCTCGACCCATGCAGGTGAGGGCCGCACTACGCAGCCCCCAGGAGCAGATTCC